TCTTTTTTCAGCCATTTCATAGACCTGTTGGATGAAAAAGAAGTCTTGTGAAGCTGTCTAAATAGAATTACAGAAATATTTCTCTGAAGATGGCGCACGTGTCTAATTTCTATGGTTACTTAGAATATGGAGAGGATGTCTCTTGTTGCTGTTAGGTATCTTAAAAGTTTAGTCTGAGTTCATTGTTTAAGATAGCGATTCCTAATCTTGGGTAACCCAGGTGTTCTTGGACTGCAACTCCCAGAAGTCTTCACCAGCAGCAGCTGTGCTGACTTGGTTTTCTGGGAGTTGCAATCCAGAAACGCGCCTGGGTTACCCAAGATTGTGAATCATTCATCTAAGAGATTGTTTTCCCTCATCTCCTGTCTTAATCTTTAATTAAACTCAAATATAATATACAGTGGTGCCTCGCAAGACGAGTGCTCCGTTTTACGACGAAATCACATTACGACAAAGTTTTTGTGATCGCAAAAGCAATCGCAAAACGATGTTTCCTATGGGGGAATTTCGCTTTGTGATGATCGGTTCCCTGCTTCGGGAACCAATTCTCGCAAAACAACGATTTTCCTACAGCTGATCGGCGGTTTCAAAATGGCCGCCGGGTTAAAAAAAAAGGCTCCCCGCTCTTTTCTGGGACGGGCAGCGAAAATGGCTACGCTATGGAGGATCTTCGCTGGACGGTGAGTTTTAAGCCCATAGGAACGCATTAATCAGGTTTGACTGCCTTTCTATGGGCTTTTTAATTTCGCTTTACGATATTTTCGTTCTACAGCGATTTCGCTGGAACGAATTAACATCGTAATGCGAGGCACCACTGTAATGCAAGATTTTCCTTGCACCAACACATAAAGAAACAACCAGATGTCCTCCCCATTGCTGTCTGGAGGTCCACCAAAGCCCCCATATCTTCTTACCCAGACATATTTCAATATCCTCCTTTCTGAGGATTTGGCTGTTCAGAGGCTAATGTGGGGTTCAAATTTAATACTTAAGATTTATTAAATCAGCTTTGGAGCTGGGCAACCAGACTTAAGGAGGAACTTAAGGAAGAACAGCTGACTCTGTCAAGAGCCATGTTTGATGAGATCAGGCTTACAAACCCCTGTGTATGTACACTCACAAACATTTACTCCTCTCTTAATAGAAATTTAGTGTGTCTAGCTAAGGTCTAGAGAAAACCCTTCTGTTTTTTTCTCTCCTTGATTAAAAAAAATATGATCACTGCTCCATGGTGGACATTTCATAACAGTGTTCCGTGTCTGTCACCATTACATTTCTCTCTCTCTCTCTCTCTCTCTCTCTCTCTCTCTCTCTTATGATTTCAATATTTCTTTCAGCTTTTGAAGAAAAACCCAGTTTTACAAAAGAGTGTCAGCCTCCAAGAATCAAGGGTGAAAAGGCAAGACAGCAACTTTGAAAGACATCCTGGCTTACACAGGCAAACCTCGCTATCCCAGAGCATCCGCAAGTAAGGATCTTTGGGCCACCATTTCACTATTTCCTGGGTTGATAATTTCTTAATAATTTATGAAAACCTTAAAGGGACGTGCTGTTCGTGTGACAACAGAATGTTGGTTGGTCTGATATTGCTGTTTAGTAGGGGGGGTGTATTTTCTGACAGCCTGGTACCCATTTTTATTTGACTCCAAAACTTAGAAGATGATGCCTCCTTTGCCCTTTGGAAAAAAAATATGGAGGGAATCATGCTGTCAGAAGCCTCTGGAGGAGTGCAGTTTGTCATTTTTATGAATGTCACTTCCCAGGTCCTTTCAAGAAAGTGGAGGGGGAAAGAAGGAATCACTTTCCTCCTCCATTTTCTTGCAGGAATAGTGCTTTCCCCCTCCAATTTCTTTGTAAAAAGCTGCTTTCCGCCTCCACTTTTTGTGAGGGGGAAAGCAGCTTTTTGCAAAGAAAAAAATTTGGGGTTAGAAAAGTGGGGGGGGGAGAGCATCTTATACATGGGGGCGTCTTATACATGGAAAAATACGGCAAGTCATAGGTCCAGCAGGTATTCTACATCAGCAAATGCTGCCTACTGGTTATTTTAACATATTGCAACATTTCACGTAATACAGTCCAAGTGCCACTTCAGTACTCTTACCTATGCAACACTTGCAATCTTGACATAGGGTTACTTCTGAGCAAGAGTGTTCAAGTGAGTCCTTTGTTTTCTGTTTCCCATTTACAGAGGGGCAGCCCAGTGGTTCGGAGTCAGCAACAACTGGGATGGGAAGCGGCAGCACTGGCAGCGCATGAGCCTGCAGCACTGCAGCCTACGGTATGGAAAACTCAAACCTGCCTACCGAGAAATGGAGCTGCCCAGCCAAGAAGTCCCTTCCTTCCAAGGCACAGAGTCTCCCAAGCCAAAGAAGATGCCCAAGGTAGGCCAGTTCATGTGGACGTGGTGATTGTCCTCTTGGGTGTCGTTGCCAAGAGAACCAATCTGGTGCATGGGTGAGAGTGCAGGGTTCTGGCCTGGACATCAAGCTTCATGGTGGACGTGGAGGTGGTGGCTTGGCAGGGGCAGGCTGTTGAACTTCTGTGCTCAGAATTCAGCTCTCTCTAGTAGAATGCATGCCTCACAGGCAGCAGCTCATAAATTCCATCCCAGGTGTCTTCAGGTAAAAGGCTCAGGTAGCAGGGGATGCGAAAGATCTACCTGGGACACCAGTGAGCCACCGGCAGTCAGAAGTAGAGAGCTTAGAAAAGTGTCCTTGTGCATCCCAACTCCCAGAGCCACCAGCCATGTAGGCTGGGGTTAGGTGTTGTTCCAAATAGTTAACATTTCCAGACTCTGCAGAGAGGAGAGCACACTATGATAGATGATGGACCAACAGTGTAACTTGATAGAAGGCAGCTTCCTGTGTCCATCAATGATGTTGTACTTGGCCTTAGGGCTGAGAGTGATTTGATGGATCTACCTCACAAGACTGCTGTTGTGCTTCAAATGCGACCCTTACATTCCAGGGTGGGGTGAAGGCAATAAAACAGGATAGCAGCAGTTAACTTGCTTGGGTAGCTTTTGGCTCAATAGCTTTGGTTTTTTCCAGATTGTGGACCCTCTTGCCCGAGGCCGGCCCTTTCGGCACCCAGATGAAGTGGATCGCCCACGTACCCCACATCCTGTTGTACCTCCTCTGACCCCTGGCGTCATCTCCTTGACGTCGTTTGGCAGCACACGGTCTGGCTACACTCGCATGCCCCGCAGGAAGAGGGAGTCGGTAGCTCACATGAGTTTCAAGGCGGCTGCCGCTATAATCAGAGTGAGTTTTCTGTTCTGTGGCTATAAGCTCCTATCTTGAACTCTGCCCGTGACCATACTCTTTCAGAAGGAACTGTTTCTCTATGTGTTCTGTCTTCTTATCCTTCTGCTCATCAACAGTGAAACGTGACATTTGAAAGTAGCTGGTATGTAGAATTTCATCCTGAGCGGAAAATAGAATGGCCATCTCTCTCCAATTCTTACAAGGTACATTCTGGTGATGCTGTAACTCTCTGGCTTCATACTCAACTGAAAAGGGGGTATTTATTATTTTGTATTTTGCTATGGATTAAAAGTTTATAACTGTTCTGCTGACATCCGAAGATATGTTTGCACAAAGGCGATCATACACTTTTTCAGTGCTGAAATTTTATCGGTGTACTCAGCGTGGACAAAAAAAATAAAAAGTTGTTTGTAAGACTGAAGCAAATATTCAGAGCAAACCCCTAGTTTGCAAGTGATGTCATTAATTTTTCTGAATATTCAGCTGGTAAAACTTGAATTCCACACTAAATCCTAATTTTAGTGAACATTGATGTAGTTTCAGTCATTTTTTAAAAAAAGGCAAATTTGATATCTTAAGATCTTATTTCCAGTCATCACATACTAAGCTCACATTTGACCAGTGAGACTGGAGTTTCTTATTCTCAACTCCCTCCTGTGAGTAGAGCCAGCCTGTGTGGCCTTGGGCAAGCTGCACCGTCCCAGAGCATCCACAGAAGAAGGGAAGGGTAATCACTACTCTGTTATTTATATGAGTGTCAGCCTCAGATGTGTTCCTTACCATCAAACCTACACTGTCTTCATATCATTAGACATACCTGTCAGGGATCCCATGACAGGTACACAGGTGAGAGACCAGTCACCGTCTCATGAGCTGCCAGGGCAAGTGTTATGAGTAGGGCACCAGGTGGCACTGTTCCATGGCATGAAGGAAATGTTGCCAGGTGGGATGGAGAAGAACTGGCTTGGGAAGTTGTTGGATTTTTTTTTTCCTGTGCCAAACTGCTGACCAATGTTTGCATAGTTGGTATGAATTTATTTTTAAAAAACATTGATAATCCCACTTTTTTTTCCTGTAAGGGACCCAAAGTGCTCTTGGAAGGCGGGTGGCCTAGGAGAGGCAGATCTGGTGGAAGAGGGGGCTGCTCTTGCTTTGTCCTGGCGTCCGGCAGCTCTGTGTGGTGCCTTACTAATGACACCAGACTTTTTCAGCTTTGACATGAAATCTGGCTTCCTCCTTTCCACGCCTCTTCTTCCATCAAGGCTTATTACATTTCCAGCAGAGGAGGGTAGTGAGGGGAGCGGAATATTTGGCCCTTCCGGTGTTTGGGTGAAGAAAATGCCTGCAATCTTGTTGGCCACATTCTGGGAGCTGGCAGCCGAAATGTCTGGATGACCTCTTCTGCAGTGGAGTGCTGTAGAAGGACAGAACTGAAATCTCTTGCCTGCATTTGACTGTCCACTCTTCTCGTGTGTTTTCTCTGTGAAAGGGGCGTCCTGTCCTGGAGTCCTCAGCACCAAAGCGGAGGTGCAACAAAAGGAGCTTTCTTTACCCCAGTTTCATGGACGACGACGTGGTGGATGGCATGGATACTTATGACTCCTCCTTCTTCAGTAAGGCAAGCATGGTTCCATGGCAGTCTTGCCCAGCTTCCTTCTCAGGCTCCCGTGGCTTTCCTCCCTTTCTCTTGGGACCCCTCCCCCCCCCGCTTCCCCTGGGAAGAAATGTCGCGTTATCTCAGCAAGCCCCTCTGGGATTCTGATTTCTTCCTTCCTAAACCTCCGTCTGGCCCTCTTCTCCAGTGTGGAGTGGTGTTGAACAATTAATTGCTTGTTATCCAGTGCAGGGTGCTTTGCTCCCTGGAAGACACTGGGGGGCAGACTTTCCACTATGACTGTGCTGTGAAATGTTGATGATGCAGCAGGAGAGGAAGGGAAAAAAATCCTCTGCAGGTCGCCTTAAAACAAGGCTCACAGGGAGCACTCATGTTGTTTACAAGGAGAGAAGCACCATAGGGGACTTCTTGCAAGCACTCATCAGCTTGGAAATAAGGCAGGTTCTCCCCATGTGCTTGGCTTTAAAGGCCAATTGTGACGGCTTTTCCCCAGTCATGGCCAGTGGTATGCAATTTGTCTGCAGGCTAGCTGGTGCCTCTGGAGAATTGTGGGAGAGCCTGCAGAGCTTCCACAGTCCTTTGCACAAGCTGGTGGGTGCCTCTGTTTATTGATCCCAGCAGAGCTTAGGCTTGGCTCAGAGAGGTCCTGAAGGACACCTCCTTGTGTGAGCGCTGGGAAAGCCCTTCCACCCTTGGAATGGAGCAAGAGGGTTCTGCCCGAGATGTTTTAAGACAATTTCTGCTGCCCTTACTGTAGCTCAGCAAGAGGAGGATGTGGCAGATATATAAGGAAGTGCAAGACGAGGCAGGCACTGCATGCAGCTAACAAGTGGTGTATTTCCCACTCCTGATTTCACTGGTCGGTGTCTGGCATTTGATGGTTTCCCTTGAAAGGGCCCTAATAGTAGCACCGACTGAGCTCCCAACGGCTTCCAGCCTCCTGGAAATTCTAGCTTCATCTGCTCCTTTGGAGTGGATACAATGAAGAGGTGCCCCCTTTGTGGCTGGCATCCAGTCCTGGGGTTTGCCCTTGGGCTTGAGCTGTTTGCAGGATGATATTGTCTCTCTTCCTTTTGGTATCAATCTTGTTGGTAACATTGGGGTTCCCTGCTTAGAAATCATCACGCAGTGCTTGCCTCGCATTGATCTTTGCTTGTTCCTTTCATTATAATGGGTAGCTCCCCTGTCCCCTTCCACAAACGTCCCAGGCTGAACTCCCTGTTTGAGTTCTCCTTGTCGGAATGGATTGTATTCAATGACAAGATGAAAACTTTCACTGAAAGAGAAGACAGGAGTAATCATAAGTAAAGGAGTAATGCTAGCCTTTTAGCTGTACTGCTAGGATCCTCTCAGAGATATATCTTTCTCTCACAGCCTATAACACAAAGCGACATTCAGTTCCAAGCAGTGATGGTGGGGTGGGGAGGGGGGAGACAAGTTCAGTCCATTTTTTAATCTGTAAACCTCATTATGGTTGTCGCCTTTGCCATTAAATGTGTCCCTGAGATGTGGCTGATGGGAGCAAATACAGGAAATGGTGGTCATGACAGCGCCTGGGCTGGCCGATCCCAGAAGCCATTTAAGAAGGATGAGGCCTTCTTGAGGGCCCATAGCTAGGCCTTGACAGCCTTTCTCCCTCTTTTTCAAAGGTGGACATTCACGACGAGATGTGCTCCATGCCCGATGATGTCTTTGAATCCCCGCCCCTCTCTGCCACTGGCTTCCGAGGGCTTCCTCAGCCAGAGGATGGCAAGTCGCCTGAGGCTGAGCATCCAGTGCAGTGAGTCTTGAATTCTAGTTTAAAGGAGCACCAAGGCAGGGTTGGTACTGTACTAGTTTTTCCAGGTCTGAACTTTCCATTAGGGTAGCCGTGTTAGTTTATTGCAGCCAAACTGACAAGAAATCTTGGGGCACCTGAAAAATTAATAGACTTCATTTGGCATCAGCTTTTGTAGACCATAGCTGAGGCTTCCGAAGGTATGGGCTTCCATCTACAGATTTATGTGCCAAATAAAACTTGTCAATCTTTCACTTATCACGAGGCGTTTTGTCATATCTGAGCTATTACCATCAACTTTATGTGGAAACCAACCAAACAGCTGCCTAATCCTGCTGTTTGAGATGTGACAGGTGGCAGCCAAAGAAACTGCCTTTTTGGTGGTAGCACTGTGATTTTGGAGAGCTGCCCCCAGAGGGATGTACCATGTGCCTACTAGAACTGTGGGCAGGGGGAAACAACGCTAAACCCAACTTTGGTGCCTGAGTGTAGGAAGTGTTAATAAAATGCAGACTTCTTGATGAAACCTGCGTCTGCATGCATGAGGTTGTGGGAAGAGAGTCATCCGTCGATGGGAATAGATGGTGCCCGTCTTTCTCTGGCTCCTGTGCCTTCAGTTCAAGAACTTCTTCTCTTGCAGGCGTGCTGCATCTGCTGCCGTTCCCAAGAGGGGCACACGGATTGCCTCTCGAGTCAAACACTTTGCCTTTGATCGCAAGAAGCGCTACTACGGACTGGGGGTGGTGGGCAAGTGGTTGAACAGGACGTATCGGCGGAGCATCAGCAGTGTGGTACGCTCTCAGCTGGAGATCGGAGACAGCCACAGGTAAGCATCAGGGGCTGCTGTTCCGGCTGCAGGCTAGGCAGGGTCATTGGGAAGCCCTGTTTTGTTCCAGAAGTTTTTTCCCCCCGTTAGCTTCTTTGCAACACTCATGCAGCAGAATCCCTCCTGAAAGGGTGGAGCCTTCCTAATCTCTGCAGTGTCTTCAAGGTTCATTGCAAATGTACATTTCTCCTAATCCGAAAGACGGATGACTGATCTCTTGGCACCTTTCTTCACCCACGTTTTTTACACATGTTGGATTAATCAAACCCCCTTTTAATGCTGCAGGGTGGCATTGTGATTAGCAGGCTAAGAAAGGCATTTCTTTTAAGTTCTGGGAATCACCTCCTTTGTACTTTCTGTTCTCATTAAGCGTAATACTTTCTGGTGCTCTTCGTTTCCGGGAACAGCCACTCTTCCACAGAATTACTGAAGCTGACCAGTTCAGACTGTTCAGACTAGTTCAGGTGATTTTTCTCCTTTGCCCAGTAGCTTATCTCACATATTTCAGGTAGTGTCCCGGTAGTGCCGGGAGGATAACATTGGGGAGGTGGGGGGACACTGTTGTTTGTATGGCCTCTAAAAAAATCAGTGTAGCTTAACAAGTCATTGTGTTTAAATACACATATTCTTTCTGTTGCCCTGTGTGGTGGGTGCCACTGAAAGTTAGTATAAAGGCAAAAAGAGCTGTGAACCAAGAAATACCTGGTTCTTCTCTTGTTTTTGGCATGAACTTACCAGCTATCCTTAGGCTGACACACACACACACGTACACAACCTTTGGCTTAAGCTCTTTCTGTTTCTACTGGGGCTCTTCAGCAGCCTTGTGAGGGAAGGGTATTTTGAGCATCCCCTAAGCAGCCCTTCTTAACCTCCTTTTTCACCATGGCCATAAACACAATATGAAAGAAATCAGGATTGTAGAAGTCGCGTAACAAACCTTTTAAGATGGTGTGGGAAGAACCTTTCCCAGTCTGTGGCCCCCTTCAAATGTGCCAGGGTCCCCTAGGGAGGTCATATGGCCCCCATTAAGAATGGTTGCCCTAAAGCATTCTGCTGATGCCTTGTTTCTGATTAGTGAACTCCTAATTGATAGTGATGATCAAATTCCAAAGGGGAGTTCATCCAGGAACGGGAACACAGACTGTGCTTTCCTGCCCCTGTCACTCCATCACCAAGTGCTGCCAGATGGTGCCACTGCTTCCATATGTCTAATGGACGGATCAGTAGCTAATCACTGATAGTGGCCTAAGTCTCCTCCTGCTCCTTCTCCCCCTGGAGATCCTGAAGGTAGCCACCAATATGGTTCTTCCAGCTCTAACTGAGCAGCCTTACCCACTGTGGTTTTTTGGGAAGGAGGAGATTACTGGGCGGATGATGGATAGATGGCAGTGAAAAAACACATCCGTTCCAGCATTAGACAATGGGGACCTTTTGTTTGTTTCCTTAAGATGCTGATATTGCCCGTCTTGCTGCATCGGATATGCAATGTTTTTCTCCATTTTTCAGGCACAATCTTTTCCCTAGCAATTTATACCTACCTAATTCTTCATTATGAATTCTGGTCTCTAATGCTTTCTTCTCCCTGCTTTATCCTGGTCCACTGTAGGCCCTACTTCACTTACTGGATCACCTGTGTCCATATCATCATCACTCTCCTGATCATTTGCACCTATGGGATTGCGCCTGTTGGCTTTGCCCAACATCTGACAACAGCCTTAGTGAGTCTAATTTTATCTTAATCCTCCTCCTCCATTTTTTTTTCTTTTTTTGCTGAAGCAGCCTCTGAAAAGCCTTAGGATCGTTGACAAGGTTTTTGAAAATCAAATGCATAGAATACATTCAACTAGGGCCGTATTTTGGATTTGGAATTTAGTCAGGAAATGAAGTGAAACAGGGGTATTTTTCTGTTTCTGTGCTGATACAAAGTGAAGTGCGTAGACCTGAAGCAATGTTCAAATCAAATTTGGGCTCTCCAAAGTACCAAATAAGCTGGCAGGATAGCTCCGCAGAGCCAGAGGTTGGGGGTTCAATTCCTGTGAGCAGGGCCAGCCTGTGTGGCCTTGGGGGCAAGCTGCACAATCCTAGGGCATCCCCAGAAGAAGGGAAGGGTAAATCTCTTCTGAGGATTCTTCTCTTGGAAAACCCTGGTAAGGGTCACCATAACTCACAATTGACTTGATGGCATATGTTAATTATGGAAGCATCAACTAATGCTTCAGTGCTTTCAACGGTTGAAAATCCAGAGTAGCAGCTTTTTTGGGGGGGAATCAAGGGCAACAGACATAGGGTGGCAAGATGGATTCCTGTGAGGGAAGGAGCTGAGCAAGGAGCAGAATTAGATGCAGCAAAAGAAGGGGGCTGCAATCTATGAAAATTTATCTCAAATGCAGTTTGCCAGCCTTCAAAGTGTCAGAAGACTTTCTGTGGCTTTTGCTATAATAATGTCAGGTTCTAATAAAATGTAATGAGTAATAAACTTAATCTTTCCTCATAATGCTCACTGGAGGGACATAATCCTTAACCAATTTTCTGAAAACAAACCCTGGCAGATCTGTCACACTTCTTTAGAGAAAGATGTTAAAAACAAAGGCATCCCCATTGAGAATCGGGCCGTTGGTCGTGTAGGGGAGCAGAGCAATTCTGGATGACGTGAGCACACAACACGGGGGGAGTTCTGCGAAATACTCTAATCCCAAGCTCTTTTGGACTTAACTGGGTGATATCCTGTACACACAGCTCTATACATGTAACGGAGGTGGTATCATTGCTGATTAAAAGCAATCAGCCACTAATTAAGGGGGATTTCAGTGTGTATGTGACTTATACACAATGTGACAAAGGTGCGTATGCCCCGAAACCTTCAAAGGAAGCCTTTAGTCAATGGCAACGTGCTGCTGTTGATGCCATGGTCACTGCTGTGCACATGGAGCTGCCACCGTGTCAGAAACAGAACCTTGAATGGTGTATGAATACATGATGGTTCTCAGTGTAGATCTCCGTGAGCCTGTCTAGTGTTTCTCCTTCACAACCATCTGTTATCAGCGAGGATGTGGCCCTTTTCGGGCAGAACTGAAATTTATGGAGAGTCTTCCAAGAAATCTGTCTTTTGTGGTGGGAATAAATAGCAGAGCTCTGTGTAAAATGAATGGGGCCACTAAAAGCCTGGCTGGGTGTCCAAGACCTAAATCTGCAGCTGGAGAACCCGATAGCCACAGATATTTCTGACAGGAGGACAAAATGTGACAAGTTCAAGTCAGGGTTATTTGGATTAATCGCCTGAATGTATGAAGCCATAGTTTGATATGTCTGTCAGGGTTAAATTCAGTCTCTCGTTCGCATCAGAACTTTGCAGCTGGAAAACAAAATCCAGTCTGAATTTTCTTTCAGAAGGTTGATTAGTAACTTGTCAATTTCTCCATCCCGTTACAGGTGCTGAGAAACAAAGGGGTCTATGAGAGTGTGAAGTACATCCAGCAAGAGAATTTTTGGATTGGACCAAGCTCGGTAAAGGCTGCACTTCCTTCTTGCCTGCATTGTTCTCACTGAGACGGTGTTTCTCATGTTTAGAGGAAATTGAGTGTCTACAATGTAGGGAAGAAAATCACATCTTACCGAAACAGGAAGGCCTTGTGATCTTTTGGTTTTTGTCAGTTGCAACAGCCTACAGACTGAAATAAAATTTAGTACTTAGCTGGCAGTTGGTGTTACTGACCACTCACCACGATGCTGATTTGGTCAAGCTTGAAAGAGAAACCTTTTTTTCTTTACTGAGAATTTTTCCACCACCATTTTGCCTTTCAGATTGACTTGATCCACCTCGGGGCCAAGTTTTCCCCTTGCATCCGAAAGGACCAGCAGATCGAGAAGTTGATTGAGAAAGAGAGAGACCAAGAGCGCAATTCAGGCTGCTGTGTCCAAAATGATAACTCTGGGTGTGTTCAGACTCTGCGCAAGGATTGCTCGGTGAGCACGACAGTCCTGAGTATTGCTTTGGGCATGGCCAATTCCTTTGAATCTTGGTTTGAGGTTGCCTTTATCTCCCTTTATGAGCCTGCTCGAACATTAAGATCATCTCTCTCTCGTTCCTGCCACCTCCAATAGTGCATTCGGTGGGGACACGGGAGAGAGGGCCTTCTCTGTCACTGCTCCCAAACTCTGGAACTCCTTCCCACAGGAGGCCAGACACGCCCCCATCTTTGCTGTCCTTCTGTAAGCAGGCATAGCTTTCCCTGAGTGACTGGCTGCCTGATTGGGTCTTTTTTTTTTCAATGGGCTGCTGTGATTTATTCCTTTGAAAGTGTTTTGGTCTTGCTCATGGTTTTTTGTATGATATTTGCTTGATTTTTTTAAGTATTTGAATACCTACTGCCGCCCAGAATAGACCTTTGGTCTAGATGGGCGGGGTAGAAATCTAACTAACGAACGAACTAAATAAAATTACTGCTGTTAGCTTGAGAAGGCTGTACCTTTTGCTGTTCTGCCTCCTGTGGCCAAAATGTCTTGCCACCTCCAATGGGTGAGAAAGCAGAGGCATCCCTCTGAAGGGCAGTTTGAGATCTTCCACTGAACTACCGGCATGAACGAACTAAATAAATAAAAATACTGCTGTTAGCTTGAGAAGGCTGTGCCTTTTGCTGTTCTGCCTCCTCCAAAATGTCTTGCCATCTCCAATGGGTGAGAAAGCAGAGGCATCCTTCTGAAGGGCAAGTTTGAGATCTTCCACTGAACTACCGGCAGCTCGACAGATCTCTCGTCCAGAAACAAGGAAGTGACCATTCTGCAAATTACGTGTATATAATGTTGGAGTCAAAAATACCTGTTGCGCTACAGCTCTTGCCACAAGAGTTGCTTGCATTTTACATGCCAGCCATAGCCCAGAGAAGTTAATCTAATTGTTTAAGGATATGAAACCAAGCTTAAAAGATCTCTAAATGTCCTTCTCAATCTTGAAAGAGGAAAAGCCTGAATTAATTTCCCACAATTGATACGGCTTAGACAACATCTCCATAGGTGACAAATTAGCCGCCTAGAGCGGCCCGGTGGGCCAGATAGACGGGGTATAAATCAAATAAATAAATAAATAAATAAACAAACAAACAAACAAATTCAGAAAAGAAGTCCTCATTCAGCCCTGCGAGTGAGCTGGGATTGAGGGGGATTCTTTGCCATCTTTTTTAAACAATATATTATTGTATTGGCTATATTAGGTTTGAAGTTCATACCATACGTTGTTATCTTCAAAGTGTTACCCAATGAAATATTATGACCAATACACTGAGAAGGATGTTTCCCTCATAGGAAACACTAGCTACTTTTGTCAAGTGGCCAGACTATAACCCGCCAGCTGTAGACCCCAGCAACTCCAGTGTGAAGAGGACATCCGGTGCTGTGTGCTCTCAGGACCCCAGGTACCTGTATGTTCATGTGTGTCTGTGGATGTGTCAGTCTCTCACTAAAGGGACAGACTCTGTCCTATGAATAAGACACACAAATAAAAGTAAGAGGCATAGTATGTTAGAACTTGGCATGTTGAAGTTTAAAACTTTGGGAGTCTGCTTCAGCTCCTCATTGCTGTCTGTCTGTCTGTCAGGACTTGTGAGGAACCAGCCTCAAATCAACCTCATATCTGGCCAGATGATATCAGCAAGTGGCCGGTAAATATTTTTTCCCTTCTTTCGATTATTTACATTTATTTTTGCTTTCGTTTCTGGGGTGGGTTTTTTTTGGATGTGTATCTGCAAAGATATCCCAGAATGCAGTAACAAGTGGATATTGTTATTCATTTATGTTACAATTTATTTATTACTTATATTCCCGTGTTTCCATTGCAAGGTAGCATTCTTAAAACATAATAAAATCCATGAAGACAAATTGAAGTGTAGAGTCATTAGTAATAACTAAATCATTAGATAAAACAAGACAATAAAAACAAAATGTTAAAGTCATCACTATAAATTAAACATTGTCCTATGCCAATTTAAAAAGAAGGGTCATGTCTTCACACTGTTCCTAAAAACAGCAAGAATGAAAATTGTTCCCACCTCTAAGGGAGCCATGCAGGAGAAAGTTCTCACCTGCACAACTGTCCAGCAGGTCTCTTCAAATCCTGGAATTCTCAAGCAGCTTAACTTCTAGGCAAGTTCGTAATGAAATAGGGCAGTTTCTTAGGTAGCTAAGCCCCAAGCCATTTAGGGCTTTGAAGGCCAAAAACAGCACCTTGAATTGAGCCTGGTCAGCAATTGACAACCAGTGCATTTCAGTAGTATGCACCAGTTGACATCTTGCATGAGTAAGATCAATTAATATTCAGAGTAACATCTTTCTTTTTCTAACTCTACGTCACCTTCTGTTGACAGATATGCACCTATCAGGCCAAAAGCAATCACTCTGGCCTCTTGCATATGGATTGTGACATCAAGGGAAGACCATGCTGTCTTGGAACCAAAGGCAGGTAAATAGTCACCATCCCAGGAGTATCCAGAGCTGCACCAAAGTGTGTTGCTTTGGGAGCTGTTGCGCCCATTCCAGCTTGGGGAGGAAGAGCCCCGTCTTAGAGCCGGTCTGTTTCACAAAAAACTCTTCTGGTTTGGATTCCATCAGCTTCCTGAGCAATGCTACTGTTGAAACATATATGAACTTACTGGGGCAATGTGTAACAATATATATCTCAATAATGTAGTTTTTAGCTCTTAGGCTGACATGAAATAAACACAGACACAATCCAAAATCGACATTAAAAACAGTAGTGTTGTAAAGCAATCTGTTAAAAGTTGCAGACATTAAAAGAGGCATTTGGAGAATGGTGATAGGTGCTTTGTGCCACAGAAGACTCTTGTGCCTCCACTGCAGAGGTGAGCAAATTCCCAGCAGTGAATGGGTCATCTCACTGCACCCCCAATTCGGATTGTGTGCTAAGTGGGTGGTGGCAGTAGCAGCATCCTTTCCCCCCATGTTACCCACCTCCTTCTGGACCCCTCAGAAATAGTGCATTTCTCGGCAAGGGTGGAATGGGGCTGGGAACCTGATTCTACACTGGGATTTAAGGCTGCACTGGTTTCCATGGTGGCAAGGGCCCTTTGGTTAGTGGGCCACAAAAATGGTGTGGAGGGAAGTTATTGTGGATGAACTCTTCTTTTCTGCACTGAGAGGGGAATGCAATGGTAGAAGAGAAGATTGTCCAGAAATTAAAACATCAATCTGTTGGTCTTGTTTCAGTTTAGGTGTGTTCATTTTGTTTTCATTTCAAATCATTAGCAGGTGGATCGCTGGAGACACAGTGTTGCTGAGCTTTCGCTGGTCAAATCCTGTTACATAAACTACATCTCCATGAGGATGATAATTATGTGTGGGGAGTAGTAAAAGAGGTTCTGTTCCAGTTCTGGGGCTTGGCTGGACTGTTGTATAATAAGTCTCATTACACTTGAGTAGAGTGAGCCTCATTATTGAAGAAAGGACCTCTGCTAGAAAATCTCACTAATGGTGGAAACTGCCAGTAATTAAAGAGTTCTTCCTTCAATTACAGAACAGGATTTGTTTGCTGCTAAAATATGTGAATTGTATAGGACAGTGGTTCCCAATTGTGAGTAACTTGGGTGTTCTTGGACTGCAACTCCCACAAACCCCAGCCAGTACAGCTGGTGGTGAAGGCTTCTGGGAATTGCAGTCCTAGGACACTTGGCTTACCTAGGTTGGAAATCACTGATACAGGAGACAAAAGCTTATGCCGTGAAACATTGCCAGTCTTTGAGGTACCACAAGACCCTTTACTACAGACAAGGAACAGATACAATACTAGTGTGACTCTATTTCTGTTTTTGTCCATTTTTACTAGCTGTGAGATCACTACTCGGGAGTACTGTGAATTCATGCATGGCTACTTCCATGAAGAAGCAACACTCTGTTCACAGGCAAGTGATACTTTCCAATGTATTAGAGAAGGCAACACTTTTAAAGTTACTTGTCAAATCTGGTGGTGTACGTTCTAGGAAAAGAATATACAGCAAACCACTTTGACTATGCACCAGATCCTTTTTTGAAATGAGAAGCTAAACAGGATTGGGCCCAGTGAAGGTTGGTGGCTTCTGTTTCAGCGGGCAGTGAATCTGGTTTTAGTGTGAAGTTTGGAAGAATTAGCCAAAGTGCTGATTCTGTTTTGGAGATAGGGTTAAGCACCTGGGATAGCTTCTGGAAAGTTTGGACTAAAATCCAGAGCACATTAATAGTTGCACTAATATCTCCATTCTTGAAAAAGAGGCCACCAGATAGGGCTGGGAAGAACCCGTAAAGAGCCACTACTGCCAATTAGTGTTGCTGACTATGTGGGGCTTAATAGACTCAGTATTTCACTCAGGATGAGGTAGCTTCCTGAATTTCAAAGTAGACCTTTAAGAAAGTAGCCGTACTGGCTCAGCTTTCCTCTTTTTCTTAGCAATGAGAAGAGCTTCAAAGGCAGGGCTGGCATCAGTGCTAGAGATCCAGTGCTTCAGCCAGGGTCTACGGCTTCCCCATCACGGATTCTCTCCTCTTTGAAAACAAAGCCCCCCTAGCCTGGTGTGCCAATCAGGAGCAAGTAGCTGAGTCTAACACCCATCTCCCTCTGCAGTATCCAGGAATATTATGTCAGGGCAGCATGGGAAGCGAAAAACCCAGCTTCCCAGAACTCCTTGCAGCACTGCTGCCAAGTAAGCCTCCCGTGGTTACCAGCAGAAGGAAGGAGGGGGCTTACGACAGGGTAACTGAGAGCAGGACCCCTTCCCACTCAAAGCGAGTCCTAAGCCAATCCTTTTCATGAGTGGTGGCTTGTGTAAGTGTATGGAGAGCCTGAACTTAGTGTCTCTCACCATACTATTCAGTCCTTGCCTATACAGTAAACTGGTTGCTCCTCAGAGCCCCTTCCTAGTTGTTGTAAATCCTTAGGAGACATTAGTCTCCTACTGAAGGAGGAGAGGGAGGTGGGTGGCACCCCGGGTTAAACCGCTGAGCCACTGGGCTGTCGATCAAAAGGTCGACGATTGGAATCCACGTGACGGAGTGAGCTCCTGTGGCTTGTCCCAAGTCCTGCCAACCTAGCAGTTCGAAAGCATGTAAAAATTGTGAGCACATAAATAGGTGCCACCTTAGTAGGAAGGGGACTGCCTTCTGTGTCTAGTCATGCTGGCCACGTGACCACAGAAAGTGTCTACAGAAAAAAACACCAGCTCTTCGGCTTACAAATGGGGATGAGCACTGGCGCCTAGAGCTGGACATGACTGGATTTAATTGTCAAGAGGAGTCTTTACCTTTACCTTACTCAAGGAGGAAAACGTCTGAGACCTGCATGGCTTTTTATATGCATACGCTCACTTGGTCTGCATTCCTTCAGCCTCTCTTACCTGCTCTTTGCATTTAGAGATTGAGAGAGAGAGAGAGAGAGAGAGAGAGAGAGAGATTAATCGCTTTGAAACTCTGCTCATTCTTTGAGCAAAGAAAGCTGGGTGTTTTGTTAAAGTGTGATGCCACCTGAGAACAGACTGTGGTTTTCCTTCTCCTGGCTAAGAAACCGTGCCAGCATTATCTGCATCTGAGTAAAAGGCTGTATAGCTCAATGGGCAGAGTGCATGTATTGCATGCCAGAGGTTCAGCCCCTGGTGGTGGCAATAAAAAGGAGTTGTGGGGGTTTGAAGGTGGTAGAAAACCTTGAGGATTCAAAAGGTGTCTTGCCTGTTAGAATGGATTATGCTGACCTTGGTGGACAAATGGCATTTCTTCATCACACAGCTGTTTCAGTTGTTTTGAGCGTTCAGAGGCCCAGATCAGCAGGGGGAAATGGCTGGTTCCTTCTCATCCCCGGCAGCATCCCTTTAATGGCGTGTTCTTCCCATACCTCCTCAGTTCCCTAAAATCTCACCTAGTTTATGGATATGTTTAAAAGAGGAGGCTCTTTTTATGGCAAATGGTTGTCAGAAAAGAGCCTGGGGCAGAAGAGGCTGCTTGCTATCTATTATGAAATGAAGGATTTTGTACACACTCAGCTCCCAAAGTCTTAAGAGGATCAACCATTAATGGGGGCACTGAAGCAGAGCGGCTCCAAAGGCTTTTATTCTCTCCAATTTCCACTTGTGTACACATTGTGTGCTATTTCAGACTGTGGTTTTCCTTCTCCTGGCTAAGAAACCGTGCCAGCATTATCTGCATCTGAGTAAAAGGCTGTATAGCTCAATGGGCAGAGTGCATGTATTGCATGCCAGAGGTTCAGCCCCTGGTGGTGGCAATAAAAAGGAGTTGTGGGGGTTTGAAGGTGGTAGAAAACCTTGAGGATTCAAAAGGTGTCTTGCCTGTTAGAATGGATTATGCTGACCTTGGTGGACAAATGGCATTTCTTCATCACACAGCTGTTTCAGCTGGTTTGAGCGTTCAGAGGCCCAGATCAGCAGGGGGAAATGGCTGGTTCCTTCTCATCCCCGGCAGCATCCCTTTAATGGCGTGTTCCTCCCATACCTTCTCAGTTCCCTAAAATCTCATCTAGTTTATGGAAATGTTTAAAAGAGGACGCTCTTTTTATGGCAATCGGTTGTCAGAAAAGAGCCTGGGGCAGAAGTGGCTGCTTGCTATCTATTATGAAATGAACGATTTTGTACACACTCAGCTCCCAAAGTCTTAAGAGGATCAACCATTAATGGGGGCACTGAAGCAGAGTGGCTCCAAAGGCTTTTTATTCTCTCCAATTTCCACTTGTGTGCACATTGTGTGCTATTCGTTTCCTTCAATTGTATTATACCTTTAAACCAATATATTCAAGGAAGTATACATGGGTCTCCCCGCCCCAAGACTATCATTACAGCAGATTTGTGAGGTGGGTCAAGCTGAACAAGAGAGTGGTATGGCTAGTCACCCACTGAGTTTTAAGGCTCAGGAAAGATTTGAACATGTATCTTCCAAGGCCCAGTCCAACCTTTTAATCTCTGAGTCCTGCACCTCCGTTCTCTTCCTCAATCTTCTCTTGTTCTTGTTCTTCTCAGGTACACTGCATGGGTGAGGTGTGTGGCCTCTTGCCATTTTTGAACCCAGAGGTTCCTGACCAATTCTACAGACTCTGGCTGTCTTTATTCCTTCATGCTGGGTAGGTAAGAAGAACGGCCACTCCCTTGGGAGAGGCAGCCTTAGGGCAAGGACTGTGTTCTGCAAAGATGCTTTGGCTTTGTTTGTTGTGGGTTTTCTGGGCTGTTTGGCTGTGTTCTTAAGGTTTTTCTTCCTAAGGATTTGCCAGTCTCTGTGGCCGGCCTCTTCAGATGACAGGAGTCAGAACTCTGTCTGTGCTCTGTTGCAGTTTGTTTGGACAGTTAGGTATTTATAGCTGTGGGATCAGCTTTTGACCTTTTCAGGAGATTGAGTGATTATGGTTATCAGCGTGTTTTTTGTTGTAGGTGTATTGTTGTGATAAGAGGGAGAGATCCAACTCTACCCAGCCACAAGGACCGGTGATCACTGCACACAAAAGAACAGCTAGCGACACCCATCAATCACAGTGACAGATAATCTCTCCCCCTTATCACAACAATACACC